GACTGCATGATAATATTGCAGAACAGATGACTAAGTGTGCAAATGTTTCAATATCAGAATGTTAGAATTATTGTCTCAGCAATGCAAAACAGATTACTTCAAGTTATATACAAATATTGCTTTTATTAGAAAAAAACCAATCATATTCTACTTATGAATTGATTAATGCGCGTACACAATCAGAGTGGAAGGCTCACATATTTGCCTTCTGAGATCGATCATGTCTCATTTAAAGGGATGTATGAAAACTAGAAAAGGATTTCTGCCCATGTGTATCCTCTATCTAGTTATGTCTATTTTACGATGTTTTAGATATGCTACAAGAGCTGAAACTGTTATTCAGTAACGCTACTTGAGATGCCGTGTAGAAAGAAAACAAAAATTATCATTGAATCGTTACTTGCATTCTCAAATTATTCAAAAAACAAAACAAAAAAAACAGTAAGCACAGTAACTTAGGGCAACATATTTCAGTTTAATCAGCGTCGCACATTTTAACCTTGCTACATATGTTCATTGGAGACTAGGGATGTGCAGTGTCCACTAGAACACTAACAACACTGTTATCGGTGTCACTAACACTATTATTACACTGACACTGACGTTCACTGATAACACTGATGAATTCACATCAGCGTACACTGACACAATGAAGGTCACTGAAACACAGGCCACACTGATATCAATGTTTAGTGGGACACTAACACACTAACTACTTTTGATTGACTAAAATTTGTATACAAAGTACTTTAGCATTAGTGTAAAAAAGGCGCGGAATAATAAACCCTACAAAAGGGTTTATAGCCTCCTAAATTCTTCGTCAGATTCTCACTAACTCTAGGGTTTATGAAAGTGAGTTGTACTCAAAAAGAGTTTATGAGAATTTAGCAAATAATCTAGGTGGCTATAAACCCTTTTGTAGAGTTTATTATTCTGCGCCTTTTTTTTACAGTAATGCTAAAGTACTCTGTATACAAATTTTAGTGAATCAAAGGTAGTTAGTGTGTCAGTGTTCCACTAAACACTGATATCAGTGTGGCCTTTGTTTCAGTGACCTTCTTTGTGTCAGTGTCAGTGTAATGGCAGTGTCAGTGACGCCGATAACAGTGTTGTTAGTGTTCCAGTGGACACTGTGTCGGTGCTGTCGGTGATCAGTAAACTGAAACTGCACATTCCTATCCACGCTTATTTTTGAAACATTTTCTAGCTAAATATTATACAACTATTAAATTTTCATTCAAACAGATGTGTTCATCCTCTGTTAGACTTGAAGTTTTAATATAAAAGATTTTAATAAAGATAAAAGGACACTTTTGATTTGTCGTCAATTTCTTTGTAGGATGATTGAAATAGGAAATATGAATAAAGTACTTTTCCAATTATTTATTTTGTGAATTTTTCAGAGTTGTAATCATCATCATCATGAGAGTGTCAAAATATCATATTTTGTCTTATCGATTGGATTTAGTTATAATTGAAATGCATAATATCAATACACAATGATTAACACAATTGAAAAATATGCATGACCAAAGTTAATATTTTTGAAATTAGCATCAGTCAGCATTGTTAGAATTATATCGAAATCAATATATTCCATCTCAAATCCAATAGCAACTATGAAATAGAGCACATAGATTGTTGAAATGAATATCTCTTTTGATAAAAAGAAATCGATGATTTTATTTTTGTTTGCCAAAACGTTCTAAAATTAATTGTCGATTAAAGAACTATCGCTTAGTTAGAAGCTAAAAATGATATCGTTTTCTATAAAAACTTTTTGATTCCAAGGTTTTACCAGTGAAAATCGGAAAATCGGATAGAAATCAATTTTAACGTTTTTCAATATCGTACAAGGAACGAACATATCGATTTTCTGAAGACAAAAACCGCCCTTCTATGTTGAAAATACGGAATTCGTCAATTATTCTGAATAAGATTAACCAGATATTTCTTTTCATTTTCGTCTTCTTTAATCTTATATCATTTCTTTGACTTTACTGCTTTCTATTCCGAAACACATGCTTGATCTGCTTGTTCTCAATATGATAGTCCACATGGTACTTCGCTCAATTTTCTCTTCAATTGATCTTCAAATTAATCGATGACAGATAGAAGAAATCATATATAATTCAGTCTTGAAGAATATGAAATGTCTATAAGAATCATAAAACAATTTGTTTTTCATAAAAATGAACATTATCATGTATAATGACGATAGAAAAAGTAAATAAATGAAACAAACAGTGCAAAGTATTCAACAAAAGTTGTATATAGACACTGCAGAGTACCATGATCTCTAGAGAAGATCAGAACAAGGTACAAAAAAAGTAATCCTACGAGTGCTTCTGATGTCTATATCAAACGTTAAGAAATAGGAAACTTCTTTTCTTTTCTACTTCACTCAAGTTTTTTGAAATTTTACAAAGAATGATCACTATTTGAGATCTGAAATAGTGACGTTCAGTAAAATACTTAAATAAAAAGGAATCGTTTTATTCTCGGCATACAAAAGAAAATATTCCTAGATTAATAATTTGCATACTAACTGCATCAATGAGTCATTCGGATCTCTTCATAGATAAAAACTAATCGAAGTCGAATGTTTCAACCGTAGTCTTGGCAAGAAATTTCAGGTAGATATTTTTTTAAAATTTCCGTTTCCGTTAAAACATTATGAAAAATCGATTATATATTTTTAAATGAAACCACAACTCTACAAATTGTGAATATCATGAAATATTATGTTTGAAAAACTAATTATGAATAATTTATACAAAATTAAAGAAACTATACCTTATAGATTTCAAATATATATCTTTATTAGAAAAATCGTTTTAAATTACGATATAGCATTTGTTCAATTTTTTTAATTTTTTGCAACGACAGAGAAATGATATCATTTATTATCTTTTTCATTTAAATATAAATTAAGTCTAACTTTATTCAATTCATGATAAATTTTTAACAGAAGACTTTTCACATAGCGTCATATATATCAGAGATGGAACCGGTCTACCTTTTTTCAGACCGGTACCGGCACGGGTCTGGAGAAAGGTAGACCGGACCGGACCGGCCGGTATACCGGTTTGACCGGTCTACCGTTCTAAACCGATGTACCGATAGTGACAGGATACTGATGATACGCCAGTTTATCAGGAAAACCCGACCTATCGATAAAATATCGATCTGCAGACAACAGGCTGAAGCTTAAAATGAAATCTTCTTGTGCAGTGAACTCTCTGGTGGGTTACCTTCGTACCTTGAATACAATCATAGAGCAGGAAAATGAAAAATATAGACCAGTATAGACCGATTTGAACCGGTCAGACCGGTATGGACCGGTAGACCGGTTTAGACCGATAGACCGGTCGATCCAAAATCCAGACCGGTACCGGTTCCATCTCTGATATATATGTATTCGATCTTTTATATCTAATTACTCATGTTATAATTTCAATTGTATCATAGTGGAATCAGAATGATCAAATAGTTTGATGCCGCATTTTTTTTTTCTTCGAACGAGAACCACTGTTATTTAACGCCCTCTTTCTAATTTAAAGAGGCTGTATGTTTCGTTTTAATACGATGATGAAAAAGTGTATGTACATCAAAGTATATTTAGCTTATGTCAATCATCGCCTTGTTTATTCATGAATTGTCATAATAATTATTTTTTGACTAATAATATTGAATATAAATTTATTGATTTTTCATAAAGATCAGCAACTAAATTTGGATATGTTTGTCGAAATGTTTTCCAATCAGCTGTACCTGTTTCAGAAGAAAAAATTTGTCCTAAATTATTATTAATAAATTTAAGTGTTGAATCTTTTAATCGTGTCGCTGTATGTCGATCGGCAAGTATTAATAATTGAATACAATTATCTTTATTTAAAATAAAATAATCTTCAGCTAAAATTTTTAAACTTTCAACATTATATTTATCAGCTAATTCAAGTATTTCTTCAGCTTGTTTTTCATCTGTAAATATACATGTATCAGAATAAAAATATTGAAGAAATAAATCAATAGATGATGAATTATAATTATTTAAAATAAGAATAGATGATGTCATTTCAATAGTATCTCTTTGTTGAAACATAGTAAGAAAAACATTCGATCGAGCAGCAAGTATACATCGATGAACAGGATAAATACATTCATCAATTTGAATTATAAAATCAGAAAAATATGATTTTGATTTTAATGAAAGTAAATCACGATTAAGTGAACGTGTAAGAAGAGTTTGACTACAAGTACATCCTGATTGACGACAATTAGGACGACGACATAATTTATATGAAGTTGTAGATAATGACATTAATTGAAAAGGAAAAATCAAATTGAAATATTTAATTATATAAAAATAAGAATTACCATGACAGCAAGAGATTTTATATTTATACTTAAATAAATATTTTCATTTTTTTAGACATTAGAAATTTCGATACTTTTTTAAAAATATATTCTGCATTGATAAATAATTTTCAATCAATTTAAATGAAACATATTTACTATCTGTATTATATATAACTCATGTTTATTTTGCTTACATTTATTCTTTTATGAAACGCATGAACGATTGAATGCTTGCCTCAAAGCATAGACAGTCGCTCTACTATTATTTTTTTTATTTTCTTTTATTTTTTTGTGTGACCCATATAAGACGTCGTATGTCAGATGTGGCATGAAAAAAAAAGAGAGAATCATAGAATTTTCTTTTTTTTCTGTTCTACTTTCTTTTTTTTTCGCGTTTCTTATCAGTGACGTCAATACTTATGTGTGTGGGACGATAACAGAACCACATCAAGTAGAAATAAGAGACGGACATGAACAAATAATAAAGAACGTTAGTTCCCGGCGAGGAAAAAAAGAATATTTTTCTCTTTTTCTTCGCATTTCATATTACTATAGGCTTTTCCCCTGTTGTTGTTTTTTTTTCGTCAAGCATTCATAATTTCCTTTTCTTGTTGTTGTTGTTGTTGTTGTAGATAGCGATGGGTTCGATATCGCTTTATCTTGTGAATATAATTCTTATTTCGTCCCATATCTTACTTAGTATCGGTCAAGAACAAAATGAAAATCATCATAATACACAACAAATGTTTGATGTACTTGATCGTGTTCATGCTAAATGTCCTGAAATAACATATATATATGATTTACCATTAGAATCAGTTCAAAAACGTCCATTACGTGTTATTGTATTTTCGGACAATCCAAAACATCATGAATTACTTGAACCTGAATTTAAATATGTTGGAAATATGCATGGAAATGAAGTTGTTGGTCGTGAATTAATATTAACTTTGGCTGAATATCTTTGTCATGAATATAAAAAAGGAAATGAACAAATTAAAAAATTAGTCGATAATACACGTATTCATCTTATGCCAGCGATGAATCCAGGTAATTTAATATTAAATATGATTTTGTATGAAATCACATTTTTTATAGATGGTTGGGAAATTGCTGTACAACATGCATGGAATATATCAAAACCTGATCAATTTAAAGATATTGAAACAATGTTAAAAGTTCGATTACTTATTTATTTGTTTTTTGATTAAAAAAAATATTCTTTTTTTCCTATAGGAACATGGTACAATTGATTGGACAGTTGGTCGAGCAAATGCAAATGGAGTTGATTTAAATCGAAATTTTCCAGATTTGGATGAATTTATTTATGCATATAACCATGATGCAAATCATCGAAATAATCATCTTAATTTTGAAACATTTGTTGCATTAACATCAAAAAAGGATTGTCATAATAAACCAGTACTAAAACTAAATTATAAAAAGAAAAACAAAGAATTCTTTTATATTCAATTTCATTTTAGTATCAACCTGAAACAGTAACAGTAGCTTTTTGGATCATGAAAAATCCATTTGTATTATCGGCTAATCTACATAATGGTGATATTGTTGCTAATTATCCATATGATGATTCAGCAAATCATCTTCGAATGTATTCACCATCACCTGATGATCAATTATTTCAGTAAATTATCTCTTTTTTTTTTCTCAATTTTTTTCGTTCTATTCGTTGAAATATTTTAGACAATTAGCCGAATCCTATTCTCATGCCAATTCAAATATGGAATCACCAAAAAAAGCATGTGGTACTGATGTCTTTCCAGAAGGAATTACCAATGGTGCAGCTTGGTGAATTATTTAATTTAATATTTATTTATTTATTTATTTATTTGTCAATATTTTTTTTTTCTTGGTCTAGGTATCCAGTATGTGGTGGAATGCAAGATTTTAATTATTTAGCCAGTAATTGTTTTGAATTAACATTAGAACTTGGATGTCGTAAATTTCCACCTGGTAAAGATTTACCACATTTTTGGAATGAAAATAAAAATGCACTTATTAATTTTATGTGGCAGGTAAAGATTTTTAAAAAAAAATAAAATTTTACTTTTCTTAAAAAGATTTTTATTTTATTTTTGTTTTAGACTCATGTGGGTATTAAAGGAATTATTAACAATGAAGACGGTGAACCAATCTTTAATGCAACTATTAAAGTTTATCAATTAGTTAATGATAATTGGGAATATATTGATCATGATATGACATCAAGTAAGTCATATTAATATTTAAAATACAATTTTCAATATGTTTATTTAGATCCTGATGGTGATTATTATCGTTTACTTGCTGATGGTACATATGGAATAAAAGTGACAAAACCAGGTTATGAAAGTCAAATTCAATATGTTGATATTCATAATAAAGAGCATCAAACTAATGCACAGCGTCTTGATTTTACTCTTCAATCAGCATCTTCTGAACAATTTAATCTTCAACGAATGTTCAGAAACTATATGAATAAAGTTTGAATTTTTTTGTTTTTGTTTTTAAAAGCTTTTCTTTTCTTGTTCTAGTATTAATAATTGGTAAATCAAAAACAAATTCAATGAATCTCAAAAATGCATCCCATTCTCTATTTTTATGATCTTTCATTCCAAAAATTTAATATTTATAAGTGAACAATATTCATCAACAATAAAATCTGGTCTCCGTTTTCAAATATTTTTCTTCTTTTTCGACATTGTATGTATAACGACGTACCAACTATTTTATTTTTGTTTTGTGCAATAATATTAAAATCACAATAAAGATGAGAAAAAGCATTGAAGCATAATCATTATATATATATCAAATGTCAAAATAATACTAAGACACTTGAAAACACAAGAGTATCTGAGAGATATACGTATATCTAGCTCTTTCATAAACCAGTCAGCTATGTTCAAGAACTGAGAAATAGAAATTCTAAAGCTGTTGAGGATCTCTTCAACGGCGCTATGATGATTTTTTTGGAAAATGACAATTAACTATTAATTCCTTCACAGTTCTACCATTTATAAAAGCCAAAATGATATTTTTTTCTGCAATAGTAATCATACTCACACATTAATGTTCACAAATTCCTTGATGAGTATGAATGTGAGAGAAAAATATATCGTCAGTATTGTGTTCTTTATTAATTTCGGCAATCATAGAACTGTAGGGAACGGAGAAAGAACTCTTATTTCTCAATCTTTTGACACCTCTCCATTATGTTAGATTTACTTTTTAATCTTTTCATATGAGTGTAAATCATTTTATTGAAAGAAAAGAAAAATTCTCTCAAACAAAACTTTACAGTATTTTTATTTTTATCAACTTGTTGGTGAAACAAAAATATAAAAGAAATTAAACAAGATATCAATCAATTTGAAATTGAACAAGTCAAATGAACATGTAATTTAAATGATAGTAAAGTGATAAAATGTCAATGAGAAAATAACTTTATTGAAGAATTTTACAAACAAAAAAACTCCAAAAGAATGAAACGAGTTTGATTGAAATTTATCTAATAATCGAATATAAATTAAATGATATATAAAATGATAGCAAATACCGTAAGTAAACGTGCTGATTGTGAATTTCGAGCAGCAAATAGTCGTTTACGTCAACAAAATACACCGTCCGAAAGTGAAATTTCAGATATATGTAGAAAATTTGAGTTGAATTTATCGTAATAATGATAATCAAAAGTCTTTTAAACATATATTAATACAATGTTCACTTGATTGTCAACATATTTGAGAAAATCATTACAAAGTAATTTATGATTTTGTTAATATTTTATTAATATAAACTATCAGATAGAGATATATCAATTCTTATAAGTCATATTGATCAGTCAACAGAAGGTAGAAAATCGAATGAATATATTTCATATTATAGAATTATTTCTCTTCAATAAATGAATATCGAATAAATCAGTAAATTAACAAAAATTCTATTTAGATCTTTCGAATACTTTGGATTTTCTAAAAGATACAATTTGTATTGTACATGCTGAACAAGGCAATATAGTTTAACATGCTCTTGTTCTACCAATTCATGAAAAATTTAAAATTGAAAAATTCTCTGATACTGATTTTACATTAACAAAGAATATTGATATTCTTCAAAAATGTTCTATAAAATTTAATATTCGTATATATTCTATTATCTAAAATGAATTCGATCTGAATGTTAAAAGCTCACATTGTGGATCCTCAATGGAATATAGTATATATTTGTAATTATGTACAATCTAGTGGAACATATTGGTCAAGATCATTGAATCGAGATGAAAAATCATATTTTTTGTCCTAAAAGTAATATTTAATTGTTTTTAGTCATCGTTTTTCTATTTCATTCGTATGTGAACAAGTTAAACTCGATTTGTTATTAAGATAGTAGAAAATGATACTGAATTCGATGTTGAAAGGGATTCTTGGTATATCGTTTATCATGGTACACAACATTTCAATGCTCCACTTATTTTTAGCATTAGGTCTACGTTGAGGTTCGACTGGTTGTTTAGTTATTTGTGAACACAGTAACAGGTTATTGACCTTGACCTCTCTATTATCTATTATGTAATTGGTAATACGTGATAGTTGTTATTCTGTATGACATTTGAATTAAGTCATTAAGCAGGAAAATGTAATCTGATGTATAACAATTTTTAAAACGATTGACTATTTGAATGAATTTTAGATATGATGTGATTTGTATAAATACTGTATAATTTTTTATTCGTCTAGACTTTTTATACATTTCAAAATGTCGACAAGAAAAATAGGTACAAAATAGTTTTGCTTTTTCGAGCTTATTTAAATACCAGTATAAATGAAAGATATAACATTTGATATAATAACCGAAATATTTTTTGTTTGTAATCTTCGTTGATTTTCATTATTTCGTATTCATAAATGTTTATATATGTCCTATTTAATGCTTCAACAAATTTTGGAATTTATAGTATAAAGAAGTCTTGAAGGCAGTTACCTAAAATACAATCACTCGTAGGTTTATCTCAAGATTTCTTAACAGTATTGTATCTTGAATATATGTTATTCAATTTAAATATGATTCAAATATATAAATTTCACATTATTCATCATATTAATTCAAATTAATGTCTTATACGGGTTTTCGCAATCGGACTCGGACCCAAACGAATCGATATCTGGTAGATACTTTTAGAGGCACAATATGGTTTTCAATTTTCATTTTATATGAAAAAGTATGTTATTTCGTTTCTTGCATAAACAGCAGCAATAAAAAAAAGAGATTATCTCAAATTTCACAAAAAAAAACAAGTGATTCAAGATTCACTTGGTGTCTGTCTGCTTCTAGAATGCGACCAATTTCATATAGTATACGTTTGCTTGTTGTTGATGACGTTAGACTGGAATGCAATGTTGGTGTCAAACGTCATAATTGTGGATATATACAGGAATGCTTTTTTTCATCATGAAAATGCATGTTCACCTTTTTATTAATTCATTTTCTTTTTCATGTATTCAGTTACTTTGTGATACGATTCATCATCATCTGTAGATGAATTTTCATTAAAAATAAATTCGTTTAGTAAAACAATATCATTTTTCACTTTTCTGTGACCTGTTCTCTAGTACAATAAATTCCTTAGGTTTTAACTTCTATGCTTTTATATACATAGAAGTTTAAAAAAGTAAATATATTTTGAAATGTTGAGATCTCATTAATTTTCGAGTCGAATCCGAGTATGAGATCGTACCTGAAACCCGAACCGATCCAACGCGTTTGTACCCGCACCCATGCCGAGAACTCGAATCGGGTTCAAGGATAATGATTCAAATAATATCACATGGTTTTTTTCTTGTTAAAATTCACACGCTTACTAAAAAGAAAAGCGCTGATATAAAGTTTATTTAACTGATAGGCTTCTGATCTTTGCCTTAATTGTGTTATGAGAGTTTTACATCATATAAAAACAAATAAGAATTTCGAACGAAAGTGTTTTGTTCATTCTCTTTTTATACTAAACACACGAATGAAAATAATTCCAAAAATCGAATATAACCATATAGTAATGAACAAGAATAATGGTTAAAAAAAAAATTAATTCTTTGTTCTCTTTCACTGTTTTGTTCTTTTTTCTTTGGTTTCTATTTCACAAATAGAATGTGCACATGATAAATGACCTCTCTTACACACATTCAGTACTTGAGTTATAATATGCATTCGTATATATAAATTTACTTTAACGAAGACAAACGCATATACACATAATATAAAAATGTCATATTTATTCTTCCTTCTTTGGTATTTCTTATTTATTTATAATAATATTACAAATGCACATTGTCCCGATGATAAAGATCTTCAACATCATCAATGTATATGTAATTTAACAAATAATTATATTCAATGTTCATCATTACCTAATCAATGTCGTACATGTTATCGTTATAAAGCAATAATTTTTGATGAAAAAGTTAATATTCTACCAGTAGAAGCATTTCGTTTTTATGATTTTTTTGAGAATGATAAAAAATTTTTATTTAAAATTCAATTTACTCAATTAAATAATCTTTCATCAAAGTCATTTTCGAAAATGAATATTATTCAAGGTCGAACATTAAATATTAAAATATTAAAATATACATCATCTATATTACCAACAAAAGTATTTGAAGATATAAAAATTCTATCCAAATCAAAAGTAAATATTGAAATATACAATGTAACATCTACTATTTTGACAATAAGACAACATGCATTAGATGGAATAAAATTTCATCATAAAAGTCAATTTCGATTATTAATACTTCATGCAAAAGATACAATTCAATTTGAATCAAATGCAGGTGAGATTTTAAAAATTATTTTTATCATTTTATTATTATTTTACTTTATTATTAGGATCAATTCAATTACCATCTTATTCTTATATGGAATTATATTTTGCAAATTTTATTCAAGTTGTTTTAAATGAACATAGTTTTAATCATATAAAACAAGAATATTCAAGTAAATTAATTATAAAATTTGATCGTTTTCAATATGCAACATTTTCACATAATTCATTTTTTGATTTTCATCAATCTAATGAATCTCGTTTTCATTTATCATTATTAAATTTTCAAAATTTAAAAATTGAACAAACTTTATTCGATAGAATCATTCAATGTAAGTGATTTTCTTTTATTTCTTTGAAAAAAAAAAATTTTTCTTTTTTTCTCTCGAAGTAAAATCATATTTAATAATATCAATTTATAATTTAACAAATGATTTATGTTTACCAAATAAAACATTTAATCAAATAAAACAAGATTTTAATTCAATATTTCAATTTGAAATCAATTATGGACAAAATCTTCTTCTAACATCGAATTCATTTATAAATATAAATCAAAAATTACAATCAAAATTATCTATTATAATAATAAATTCACTTGATGTTTATTTTTCTCATTATGCATTAAATAATATTTATCAAGAAGATCAATCATTAATTGATATTTCAATTAAATATGGACAAAATTTAATATTTGATGATTATGCAATTAATAATATGTATATTTATCATTCGAGTATTTTAAGAATTGGTTTTCAACATTCAAGAGGCACTTTACAAATGGCTATGAATGCCTTTTCTAATATTAATGAAGGTATATTCTTTTCATAGAGCTTTTGTTCACTGAATTTTAAAGAGTTTTTTTTTATAAAAGAAAAACTCTAATATAATCAATGTCCGCGCCATGATTAAAGATAGGTCGATGTAATCTCAATAACTAGACAATAACAACAGCTAGCGACCTGCAGTTTTCAGCAATTGAAAGAGCGGAACTCCGGACGTCTTTTTGTCTGACACACTATAAGACAATATTATTTTCAAATCTATCATCCTCGTAAAACATTCAACAATGTTCTGTTTCAAATGAATTTTGATAAAAAATCAGAAAACTTGCTAAAAATCAACAGACTTCGATTGAATGCATACACGATTTTATTTGTTCAATATTGAGATGTAAGAAGACAATTATCTGAATCATGTCTTGAACTATAGCTCTGAAGTCTTTCTATCTGAAGCACATATCAATACTAAAATTAGATCGAAACAAAATATCATTTTCATGCATTTCTTGGAATATCTTGTGAAGATGATCGGATTTTTAAATAGTTTTATCTTATATAGTATTAGACTAGAAGACGTTTGAAGTTCTTCTCTTTTGATCGTTGAAAATCGCAGATCGATAATTGTTGCTGTTGTCGAATTATTGAGCTTATACTTACTCTTGTTTAATTCTGATATAGGCATTAGTTAAAAGTAGTTACTTTTAAGGGGACCCCTCCCCTTTCCGGACCCAAAATTTTCAAATTTTTCATTTTTTGTTTTTTCTGTGCTACATGGGTTTTCAAGTGCCCTCTATCTACTGGTAACGTTTTGAGAACTCAAATATAGCTCTAAAGCAAAAATAAAATCGAAAAGATAAATCGATTGCCGTAGGGGTATAGCACGATTTTTTCTTTCTTTCGCGATTTTCTAGAAATCAGATTTTTCAGCAAAAATCTACAGAATCGCCCCCGTTTCTCAGCCCCGGTGCATCCGATCGAGCTGAAACTTTTTTTACAGATACTAGAGATACTTTGGGGTGCTTATTTCTTTTTGTTTTGAAAAATATTGTACTATCGATATTTGGCAGGTTTTACAAAAAAAGTTGTAGTTGAAAAACATGCACTTTTAAGGGTGTTCTCGGTATTTTGACTTTTTTTTTGGAACGGAACGAGATAGAAAGAAAAAAAACAAAATAGGCACCCCAAAGTGTCCCTTGTACCTGTAAAAAAAGTTTCAGCTCTATCAGACATACTGCGGTCGAGAAAGGGGGGCGATAAGGGTGGGCCTTTTTTGACCATTGAGACCTCAGGATCTCCCTGAAGGAAGCATTTTAGAATCTTGAGTCTACGACAACTTTTGTTCTACTCATCGAGGTCTATCTACCCTGAAAGTTTCAGAAAATTTCGTTGAGCCGTTCTCAAAAAGTAGCGGAAAGGGGAGGGGTCCCCTTAAATGATAACGAATAATGGAAAACTTTTGATTATCGTGCATATTAATATATGTAAGGAACATTTGGTACAGTGACTGTTGATAACAAAAAAAAACTTCAATCGATCGACGTACAATCAAACTCTATAAATCGTTTTTCGGATTTTCTTAATTAGAATAGACCTATTTTGTGAAAATAACCAATTTGTTTTTTTTGAAGTTTCATGCAAACATTTTTAAGGTAGAAACAAAAATTTCTTTTCGAATTGATTTATTTTTAACATATTTTGAAAATATATGTTAGAGAAAATCTATTTCTTTTTCACCTCTAATTATCTTTTGATAAAATGAACAAGTGATATCGTCTTCAAAAAAGAACAAAATAACAGCTTCCATAGATCATTTTTTGAGATTTTTCATTATATAGGGTGTCCAGGAAGTCACTAGAGTTAGAAAAAATTGCATATCTCTCTGCTACGGCTCGAGCAAACAGGCTAGTTTTTCTACCAATAATAGAAGTATGTTCACACTTTAAATCCATACAGACAAGGTTAGAGAGCCTTTGTTAAGTACCACCAACGACCTCAACAAAAAAAATTTTACTTTTTCACAGATAGGAAAAAACACTATACGGAGTGACACAAAAGTCACTTTGCCGCAAAAAAATTGAATATCTTCACTATGGCTCGAGCAAAAGAGCTGATTCTTTTATCAATGATAGAGGCATGTTCAAGCTTTATATTCATAAAGACATGTCTAGAGAGATTCTTTATTAAGTCTATTGTTTTTTTTCTTCTCTGTGAAAAAGTAAAATTGTTTTTGTTGAGGTCGTTGGTAGTACTTAACAAAGGCTCTTTCTAACCTTGTCTGTATGGATTTAAGGTGTGAACATACTTCCATTATTGGTAGAAAAATTAGCCTGTTTGCTCGAGCCATAGCAGAGAGATATGCAATTTTTTCTAACTCTAGTGACTTTCTGGACACCCTATACATTTCAACACGAAATAGCGTAGATAATAAAGAGAGTTTTTTTTTTTTCAACTAACATTTTCCTAAGATTCAGTTAATACATAATAACAACTAATGAGAATAAGAAAATATTGTATCTATCTAAATGATTCATGACTAACAATAAAATATTTACTTTTTACTTTTAGCCAATGATTCTTCAGAAATACATCAAGTCATTTTTCGTAGTTTCGACTTTCCCAAATATGCAATAATGTCGTGTAAAATAAGTGTTAGCAATTTGATTGAAAGAGTAATCTATCAATAGGTCATTGATGATAAACTAGGCATACACCAAATTCGAGCTCTATTTCGATGTTCGGTTCAAATAGTTCAAATTCGGTACGATAAAGTAGTTTTTTCTTGTGAAATTTCTTGCAGCACACTACTAACTATTATGCCTGCGAATAACATGTTCAAGGGGACACCTTGGGACTGATTTTATCTATGTTTTTATCAATCCCAATAGCTACGACATAGGAGAAAATCACTTGGCAGTTATATGATAAAAGATTTTTGCCTATATTTGAATGCTTTATTATAGAATACGAATATATTTACAAAAATAAGACTACATCTATTGATGCTAAACTGTCTTATTCATATCAGATCGCACTTGAACTTTCGAGTTCGATGCATACTTATGATAAACATAAATGAACTATTATTCTCCATTTTAATTATCTTTTCTTTTTAATGAATAGGTCAGAGTGGTAGATTAATTTTTCAAATAATGAATTCATCTAATTTTTATTTTCGTTTTAATCAAACAAGTTCATTAGAACGTATAGAAATTATTGATCGATCATTATCTTCTAATGATTTTTGTCGTATATCAAATATTCCATCACATATATTAGTTAAACTTTTATTTAATAATCAATGTTCATGTACAATTTATTATTTATATCGTTATGTTTATCGTAAGCTTCTTCAAAGTACTACTCTAAAAGATTTAACACCATTCTGTTATTCAAATATGTCTTTTGATGATATTGAATATTTAGAAAATGAATGTTTATTTAAAAATAAAATAAATAATTGTCAACAAATAGAAGGTGAAATACAAATTAATATTCCACAAGGAATATGTCAAGAAAATTTAAAATTAAATCAAAAAAATAAATTAGAAAAAAATTTATCATTAAAATTAATTCTTATTATATTTGGTTGTTTAATATTTAGTATAACATGTATTTATATATTATTTTCAAATAATAGAAGATCATCATTGTGGAATTTTATTCCAAAATATTTTCATCGTTATCGATATCAAAAATTACTAATATTTTCAACTGATTCCGATGAACAATTGACACCTATTGATCAACAAGAATCTAATAATAAAATAAAGAGAATTATTGTTATGTATAATGCAACAACAGAACAAATTCAACCTTATTTCGCTACTGATGAAATAGATTTTATTTCATCTAATGATAATCGTGAAAATCGAGATATTACATTTCAAATAAATACAAATCCAATGAATGAAATCGAAGATAATAATACTCTAGAAATTACTCAACATCGTTAATTTATTTTGATTTAATTTTCTAAATTTCATTTTTAAATGTGTGTTGAATAGATTAATGAATTTGAAAAACAAATTTATTTGATTTACAATGATTTCATAGTTTGATGAAAAAAACAAACTTTCATCCATTTCGACAAGTTTTCAATTCGAATTCAACTAACATTTGTTTGATTGTTGAAAATGTTTTCGAAAAGCAGGATAGATTTTTCCAGTCTAACTCTTAACATATGGTTTTTCGAAATTATCTTAACTCAATCAAATTACAGGATATTCCAAAAGTCCGAACGAAAAAAAACCGCAAGCATTATAAAATGGTAATTACAAATTGAATTTAAAAACACGCTAACTAAACATTGCATTCACAACATATTCCAATGATTTTGTAATATCAGTACTGTCGAAAATCGGTAAGTGTAGAGTAATTACTGAAGAAAAAATCAATAAAGTTAATGATGTTTGTAAAAATGAGTCAGATTCAAGTATTCGGTCTATATAACTCTTCTCCGTAGAAGTAATAAGAGATGTTCCATCATAATCCGATATGTTGTTGTTTATGGTAATAAGATTGTACAATAGATCAAACACTTGATTCTGACTCATTTTCACAAGCATCCTTAACTGCATTGACTTTTTCTTCAGTAACTGATGTAGGTCTTTTATAGAACATCATTTTCGACAGTACCAGTTTCATGAAATCGCTGAAATGTGGTTCTAATATGAAATTCAATTGATGGGTTCGTCTTCATATCAACAACATCCTATACACTAATTGACAGGATACATCAAAGAGTTCTGATGACGGTATCAAAGAATTGGAATGTGCAGTGTCGATAATCTATAGAAATGTTTTATTTGTTTTTTGAAACAGTGATGTGCGACATGCTAACGTGTCCATTCTATTTTCTTCATTGATTAATTTCTATAAGAATAAATACAATGTCGGATATGTATTTTGAAAAACTAATCGAATTCGACTATGATATACATAGAAGATCGAATAGTTCGATTGTATGTATTGATAATACAAAAATTGGATCAAAATTAAGATTAATAATTACATTTTAGGATACAATTTAATGTTCTTACTTAATAGGCTCTAAATATTTAATGCTGATGATTCAAGTTATGATCAATGAGTTATTATTCTCATTTGTTTCATCGCAAAAAAAAAGAAAACAAATGAATTGATCTATCAAATATTTCATTTATAATCTGAAACATTTTGAATATTTCAAAACTTATTGTTATTTTCAATGCTTTCTTCATGATGAAAAGTTCATTGATGAAATAGCGAATATGTTCTTTTCTTAACAATAAATATCGTCGGTTATGGTTGACTGATTTTATCTTATCTCTACAATATGACGAACACATGTTAAGAAAATATGAATTTTCTTCAAATATCACTGAGACAATTTTTTATTACATTGAAAACTTTTCCAAAAATGAAATTTTTTGTTTTTGTTCACTAAGAAATCGATGTTACTCAAACATATTCAATCGATCTAAATGAAAATAAACTAATCTAATCATAGAAATAACGGACGTTATATTTGACACTCCTATCGGACGATTATTCACGATAGATATATCTATTTCTGACGTTCTTTGTTCATTCAATAGCTATATGAAGATAGATAGTGACAAAATAAGAAGAAAATTTGTCGTCAAACAAGTTCATTACATCTCTCTACCTTCAGTTCGTTCTCTTCATCTCTCACAAAAAATAAGTAAGAACACAATATAATTTTATTAGTTATTTTCTGACATTGACGTGTGAAAAAACGATGATATTTATTTTCAATAATGAATCATAATATATATATAGTATTTCATCGTTTTTAAATTATTTACATATATAATTCTCATACACATTATTATTTACATAGTTTTTATATTTAGATTACTTCACCGTCGATTATATTTTTATTTCTTTCTGAACTTTTGATCAACAACTTGTTGTCTTTACTACTCTTAATGATAATCTTATAGTAATTAGTCGTTGACAACTAGTCATTAAATTTTGTTGAACAAGTAAAACATCATAAGTAGAGAAGAAATATCCGCTAATAACATAATAGAGTATATCGATTAAATAATGACCTTTGATCTCTTAATTTATAATAAAAAAAAAAAAATGTCATTTTCTTATATGTTTTTGATGTTTTATTATTTTAGATTGTAATTGTTGTGCAACTTAACAATTAAACATTATAAATCAATCGAAAAGCAAAGAAAAAAAAGAAGTTCATCATCATTTTTGTATATTTAATTTCAATAGAAATGCTTCCAACTCTTGGTCATTGTGAAGATCCACAATGTATTGAATCAACATCTCATGATTTAGTACGTTTATTTCGTTGTTCAATACATTGTGATCGTAATTTATGTTTATTTCATTTAAATGCACATAATGTTTATTATGAAGAAGAAAAAAAACAAAATGATATTGTTATATGTGAATTACAAAAATGTTTAAATTTATATCAAACAATATTTGATCAACAAATACTTTCATATCGTGACCTTGTACGTCAAGCATCAACAATTTTATTACATAATACATCAACACTTATTCCTATTGATCAAATTCGATCTGTTATAGATAAAATTCAAGAAGCTGTTGCAATTTTTCAAGGAGAAAAAAGTAAAGTAAAAAAAAAAAACAATGGATGATTTCTTTTTTATTTTATTGAAATAATATTTTAGTTGTTATTAAATGTGAACCAATGTTTGATACAAATGATAGTGAAAATGAAAAAAATAAAACTGAAAATAATAATAATAATATCCCTGTTGAAATGAATCAAAAAGTTGTTCTACGTATACCACGAATTGATTGTAATAAAACGTAAGAAATTCTTTTTTTTTTCTAAAGAATTTTTATTACATAATATTATTAATAATTTAGTAATATTCAACCTGAAAATGAAAATCAATTAGAGTAAGTCATAAAGAAAAAAAAATATTTAAAAATGTTTTTTTCATGATTTTTAGTCATGATGATAGTATAATTAGATTTAAAGATAATGAACCCGAACAAAGTATTCAATCACCTTTGGTAGCAAAAAAAGTAGTGGACGGAATGAAAAAGAAGGTTGAAATTGTACAAAATACTATTTTGATATTTAATTTGATTTTGTTTAATTTTTAGTCTTTATCACTCAAACGAATACATAAATGAATTTCAAAAAAAAAAAAAGAACTTATAATTATATTTATTTTCTTGAAAGTAATTGTACATTATCTTGCAGAAAATGTATAGACAATTTTTTGTGTTCGCCATGTATTTCTTTTTGTTATCATAATTAAATTTAATAAAAAGTATATTGATAAATAAAAATTCCTTTTTTTTTTTTGATATTAATTGTCATATGCTTGTTGAAGTGTATCAAGAAAACGATGTTGTTCGATAATTTGACCAGCTGTTTCAGTATCAATTCCAAGTCTTTGAATTTTTTGACCAAGTACATCAATTGCATGATTTATTGATTGTTTAAATTTTGGTGCTGTTTCTTGAAATTTATCTTGCAAATGTTGACTATCTATATGTGATGTACGTTGAAGATCAATTGCTAGAATGAATAAATTATAAATATGAAAAGATAGAATTTTTTTTTTGTTTTGTTTTATTTACCAGCTTGATGAACTTTTTCGCTAGTTTTCATTAATCCTTTACCAATTAATTGTTCGATTTTCTCAATTGTATATCCAATAATATCACCGATGATATAAAAAATTGAACGAATAATTGAACTAGTATAATATCCCATTATAATAATATTTTGACCTAACCAATTGAGAATATAACTTAATCTATCACCCATTTTTCCATAACTATATTGAAAATTTTCAAAAATAATACTAGTTTTATTTGCTAATGGACCTTGATAAATATCTGTAGCTTTTTCTGCTAGACTAGTTTTGTTTTGTTCTAATTGAGAACCCAAATGAGATATTTCTAGAATTTTGATTTAAGATATTTTTAGTTTGAAGAAGAAAAAATAGATACATACGATGACCCAAGATTTCATAACTATGACCAAGTTTAGTTTCGAATTTTTCACCAATGTTTTTCGCAATGACACCAGCTTGATGAACAACATTATGAAAATGTGAATTTTCTTGTGTTGTAGGTATATCAAATTCAGCTATTTGACTACGACGTTTTCGTTTATCTCGTAATTGATGGACAATATCTGACTTTATTGGAATGAATAAAAGAACAATGATAATATACAGAATCAATGTTAATACAGAAATCATGATGATATTCGTCAATATTTCGGCATTTTGTAAGAAATTTTAAGAAAGAAAAAAAAAATTGTAATGAAACAAAAAAAAAACGAAAGATTCTTCGCGCTGTTGCAAGTCTTCAGTTATCAATTTTATACAGATATCGAAAGAAAATGATAATAATTGATCCTTGAAATGAAAATCATTTTGAATTAATATAAAATTTCATGTAACAGAAAAAAGCCAAACATATGTTTGTAGTTATAATAAAATATAATTCTCAAATAGAAATAGTTATTAACCATTACATCAGACAAAGATTTTTATATTAGATAGATCTCGATTATAATTAGAGATGAATTTTATTTTCTTGTTTATTATGCTAAGCTATTAGTATGAGAGTTGAAACTGAACTGGTCCGGTTTTGATTGGTTTTTTATTAATTTTGAGGATGCTTAAATTTATCGATTCCCATTCTTTTAAAGATCCAAAAATATGGACTTGAAAGTGTCCAATGGACAATTTGATAATGAAAATTTCAGCTCTTAATATTGAGCTCACGACTTCCCATTGTATGATAAGGATCTTGGCTTTTGCTGAATGGATTTATTATGATCATGAAAAGTTATCAGAAGTCAAAAGTATAGATTTTTCACATGGAAATTTCGAGCTTATTTTTCTGGACAACTATTGACTAACTGTTAGATAGTCTCAATGACTCGTGTTGTTTTCGTTTCATTCTTTTCATATAAAAATATAAGAAAAAAAAATCATGCTAATCACTAGGAACAAACAAATTATGAAAATAAAATATATGAAGTGTAGTATAAAACCATACTTTATAGATCATTTTCTCTTACTATCAAGAATGGTAGCCTTTTAAGAATTGAGAAACGTTTCATTTGTGTTAAATAATGATTTGAAAATAAGAATAAATTATAACTTATTAATTCTTGTAAAGAAAGTCATATCTTAGATGTTGTACAACATCAGTTGTTGTGAATTTTGAGATGAAAAATTTTATAAGAGTTCTTCATTCGTTCTTACTACTAACATATATAGAACGTGATAGATTAAAATAAAAGTTGTTAGTATTTAAAATTGCAAGAGTTATATGAATTTCACGATGTATGCCTTCGTGAAACTGTAATAATAAACTTTCTCGAAAAAACTAATTGATTCATAGATATATGAAACGAATCGGTCGCCGATTTAATTCTGTATTTGAACTGGCCGATTGAAAAAAAAAATCCTACCGATTCTAAGTATGATTAATATAGCCGACGAATAGAATATAAAAGGAGTTGTTTAAATCAAATCGGATATTCAATTATGCTTCAATACAAATAAAAAAGAAATTAATTTAGATTTAACTAAAGATTCTCTTAAGATTTAAACAATACAGTGAAATTCTCTTGATTTTTGAAAAACTTTCAATATAATTTTATATAAAACTTAATGAAAGAGCAGGTATAACGATAGATTTTTTTCTTGATTAAATTCTTTTAAGTTACAATTTTATTTTACTTGAATAACTTTTATTAGTTGATCTTGTGTTTGAATTCCATCACAATAGTAAATTTAATCGAAATATACAAATATTAGAATTAAGTTTTCTAAAACTCAATTTACAAAATAAATATTTTGATTTTGAACATTTTAGATAAAAAAAATTCAATAAAAATAAAAAACCCTTTTTTTTTTATCGATTTATTCAGTGTAAAAAGAAAAATATTGGATCGATAACAGAATATTATACATGAATAGATATTGTTTCATGTGGAAAGAACTTTGTTTTTTTTATTATGAGAGTTTATATTTAACATGAAAGAAAAAATAGAACATTTTATTTTATGTTTTGATCTCAATAAAAATAATTACTGCATGAATAATCTTTATTTTCATTTATTAATAATGTAAGAAATGACAACGAACGATGATTAATACGAAGTAATGAAATGTATTTTTTTGATTGGAGTAAAAAAAAATAATAGCTGTCATGGACTTCAATATGCGAATGATGCTAGGTTGCCAGTTAATAAATAGTGCTCGCATTCATTCTGTTTCTTTCATAACGGCAACATAGTTTCTTTTCTCTTTTTGGTCGTGCAAAACAACTAATATGGCTGACGAACAAAATACACCTGAAGTTGCTGCAATTGTATCTCGTATTGAATCATGGCTTAATACACATCAAAATAGACTTGAATTAGATTTAACTAATGAATCTATTCCATTTGAACAACATAGTGGTACTCTTTTTACTGCTAATCAAGGTCAAGTATCTGTAACTCTTGGTTTCAATGATGGTGTGACAAAAGATTCATCAATTGAGCAATTACGTTCAAAATTTAATTTTATTGCACTTGATCGACTTCCAGTACCTGGTCTTGATGGAGTTCCATCAAAATGGCAAATTTATCCTCAAACACCAGTGTCATCATTTTCTGAAGGTGTCACTCTTGAACAATATAATTCAAATACACAAATATTACAATTAACTGTTGAAACAAAATTTTTTGCCATCTATGGAAATATACCACAAGTTCCTCAAATAGCTTGTGGTTCAGCTCCAAAAGGTACTTATTTACAAGTACGACGTGATATTCAAGGTATTATTAAACTTAAAGCAAAACTTGTTTTCAGTGCATAAATAAAACTATTATATACTTAGTTAGTTTTATTCATATTTTTTTGTTTTGTCATTATACAATTATCTATATTTTAATAAAACATAAAAATTAAAAGTTTAGAAATTTTTTATTATCTAATGTAGATGATTTTAATATCAAAAGGCAGTCTATGATATTTAACATTGTACCTCATATATAGACAATTTTAATATTCTTGTCAAAAAAAAAGCAATGAAAAGTTAGTCCTGTAAACCAGATACAAGAATGTCCTTCCAAGACGAACGTTTTGATGTTCTATCTTGCGTCTTGCAAAACAAGATGAATGAATGAAAATATCCTGCAAAATGTAAGGCAGGATGAAGAAAATTATTCTATGACGTTCTCTGATAAGAATAAATCATAGAGTTATACGAGTGCTCGTATTTTTACTTGATATAAAACAAGTTCATTAGTTGTGATGATAATTACCAGAAAAAAAAAGTTTGATAAAAATAAATTTTAATTCTTATTAGGTTTTGTCTTGAAATTTAGTTATGATTCTTTGGGAAATTTATTACAAACGATTGAATTGAATTTTTTTTTAATCACGAACCGTCAGCATACAACAGTTTGTTATGTATTGCTCTTCGAATTTTTTTTTGTTCTCAAATATCTGAAAATAGTTTAGGAAGAAAAATTTATCATTGAATCTATACCGATATATTTTAGTTGTATTTATTTTAACAAATATTATCTTCTGTTTGACGTTACATTTGTCAGTTGTTGTCATAAAACAGCTTGTTTATCTAATACAATCAAAAGATTAATCAATACATAGAAAAAAATAATTGTGACAGTTGTCTTATACAAATGTATTTGTGCCTATAGGCATTATTTTCTATGTAAATGAGTAAACTTATTGTCTTTTCATTACATGAAGGTCGAGAAAGTAATGAAACAATTAACAATATTTCATCATATCAAGGTTATATTTCAACATATAAATAAAAATATAATTTCTGCTGATATTCTCATTCTATATTACCCAGGTCCAATAAAACGGCGTCGTAAACGGCCTGAAACGGCTATAAAACGGCGATTAACGATGTAAAACGTCGATAAACGGCACCGTAATCCGTCATACCAGATTACGGAAGCAAAACCGGAAAAAAACGACCGCCGTTTTCTAGCGATAGACGGTGGTC